TTTCGATCTCCTGAAAACTTGATACTATAAATGTTTCTTATGAACTGAGATCTCTATGGATTTTACTCGATGAACTACCAGTGAAATCCCAACTTATTCTAAAAACTTGTATAAGTTTGATTCAGTAAGGAAATTTTATTGTTCTACATTTATCTACATGTCTTGTAGCTTCAACTGGTAGTATTATATTACGAAGCTTTCTGAAGCTCACTCTGTTACTTACTATTTCAGTTTAAAAGAATCGTACCAGTGCGACTATCGACTTTAGTAGGGGAGTTCCACCGGCATGGCTTGCAGAGTACGGTCCTGGTGATTAGGGTCATGTAGGTTGAAATTTGTTTTACTTCTCAATACTGTAAATTTTACTTTTGTATTTACAAATGATTTTATTATTTTACATGTTTAAATAAAAATTTTAATTTTCTGAGATATTCTACGGTGGGTCGCTCTGGTGGCCCTAATATGACACCCCGGATCAGATCGGGTCACCTGTATCGGTTTGAGGGGGTTACAATATAGTATATATGTTTAATATTTATTATTACTATATATATGTGTGTGTGTTATATTTATATATTATATATTTATTTAGTATATATTATTATTTATATATTATATATTATATATTATATTAATTTATATTAGTATTATATTTAATTTTATTCTATGGTCTTGGTCCAAATCCGAGTCCAACAAGTAGTCCAACAGAGCCATGCCAGCCTGACCCAGCAAAGCAGGCCCAGTTAGGGGGCCTGATCGAGCCCAAGCCAACATGTTAGGGTTTTAATATTAGGGAAAGACGCATCATAGGGGGAATTCGAATGGTGCATGAGGACCACGAGCCGACAACCCACGCAAGAACGGGCCATACCGAAAATCCCAGGGTAGTTTTCTCCCCCGAATTTCTTAGGAATATGGCGGTAGAACTCAACGAAAACATGAACACCAACAAAAAACTAGTAAAATCGATATTTTGATGACCGAATTCAACCCTTCGGTGTGCTATAAAAGCTTTCGGCGAGGCACAACAAGAGATAGAAAAACTACGACGAGCACTGAGCACAAAGCAACACAAAAAACATCCACATCAAGAAAATAAAACCGAGCAAAAAAGGCAAAAAACGTTTGAATAACGTCAAAATCACAAAAAAAAAATTAAAACCTTTAATTCGTTGGAAGGCGCCGAGGACATGGAAGAGCTTCATCGGAAAGGAAAGGAAGCCGAGAAGTGGAAAGGTTCACCGAAAAAGGTAAAAGTCCGATTTTAAAACTTAGATCTCACCGATTTGGTTTATTTTGGGGCAATCGAGCTTTGGATTTGTGATCATGGGATCAGAGAGAACATTTTTGTATAGTTTGGATTTTTTTCGACCAACGGAGCGGTAGGGCATAGCGACTGGGACAAAGAGGCTTTGTCGGAGTGTGGCCGGCTTATAGCCGGATAGGAGAAAAGTTGAGAGCATTTTGAGAAGGGGAGGGGTTTGAAATTTGAGTGAAATGAAAAATGAATGTTTTTTGGGTTTAAAGGGTTTTATACAGGGGAACTTTGTGTAAACACTAAATTTTAAAATTATTTCCACAGTCCCTAATATTTTAATGTGCAATTCATTTTGGTCACATATTGTAAATTGACTATGGAATTTTAAATTAATTCAATTTAGTCCATATTTATATTTTTTATTTATTCAATTTAACCCCCTAACCTTTTATTTTTCTCCTTACATCTTTCAATTAATTTCAATTTAAACCCTATTTTAATAATTTCTTATTTAATCCTTATTTAAGTTTCTTTTATTTATTTAATATTTATTTATTTTTACAATCTAACATTTATCAAAGGTAAGTAATTCAGATCGAATTTTAAATTTTAATTTAACTTTTAATTTTCGCAATTAAGACAACTGAAAAATTAAATTAGTACCGAAAGGGCAGTATAAGGGTGCTAATCCTTCCTTAACTGTAATCGATTCCTATATCCGATTAATTTATGGTAAAACGCAGATCAGGTAGAATGGTAAATTAAAGTATCCGATCAATCTAATTTTAAAATGATCGATGACGACTCTAACACATTAAATTTAAGTTGAAGCTCAATTTCGAGCCTACCCGAAGGACGGTTACGACAATAGGTATATAAAGTTCTTCTCATTACACTCTTAGGTGTCTACCGTTTCCGACGTTTTATTTTTATATGTATGGACTGTAACGAATGTTAAGTGACACATGTTGATTTTATAGAATTTTAAAAAATATTTTTAACAAAGCACTATAAAAAAATATTTAAAAAAAATCCATTTTTCCTGAAATTATATGAAAAAACTAAATTTCTTAAAAAACCCAATTTCAATCCCTTTGTCATCACTGACCGTCATCAATCGGCCGAAATTCTAACGGTGTGAGACCGACCGAACACCCAACGGTCAAAACCCTTGCTCCAATCTCTAGTTGCAACAACTAATCATTGATCATGAAATTTTGTTTTTACACGATCATTGGGTGTTCGACCGATCGCAAAAATAAGGGGTTTTCGTCATTGGGTGGTAAGTCGGTCGAACAATGTTAGGTATTCGATCGATTAGCATCGTTGGTGGCGACCGACAATGATAAGGGATTGAAATTAGTATTTTTGGGATTTTTTGGTTTTTTATAATTTCAAAAAATATTGAGTTTTTAAATAAAATAATTTTAAGTATTTTTTTTTAAAAAAATAAAATTTTATATGTTTGACACACGTCAATTAACGGTCATTACGGATCAGGCACCTAAAAATATAATGTCGAAAATGTTAGCATCTAAAATTGTAATAGAGAAAGCTTTAGACACCTATTTTTAATGAAAAATAGTTTAGACACCTACAATTAACTTTGGGTATACTTTGAGCACTTATTTTTGCATTAAACATTTGACTAAATAGTTATTTTGGCCATTATTTTTTTGGAGTATTCTGATCCAATATTTTATTTTAGGATAAAAAGACCTAACATTTGACTAAATAGGCACTTTATTTTTTTATTGAATATTTAGCCACCAACATTTCATTTAAGGTAAAAAACTTCTATTTTAGAGCATTAAATGTTTGTTGGCTAACGATTTTCTCTACATAGGGACGTTTTTATCTCAAAATGAAATATTAAGACAAAATTATAAATAAAAAAAGAACAAAAATGACGATTTCAAATATTTATTTCATGCAACTTAGTCTAAATATAATAATTTACATAGTACAATTATATCATAAACAAGATTAGACATTCACCTTAATAAAAATAACAAAATATCAAATCAATCTTTCAAAGTGTTAAATCTAACCTTCTTTTCCTATTGATAATGCTCCTTCAATAATTTATCTTTTGGATTTCTTTACATAAACTTAAAATATCACACATACAAAATAACATCAACATCTCATGTTTTTTCACAAAATAATAAAGAAATTTAATTATGAGTGTCATTGTGAGATGAAATTTTTGCCAAAATTAGCTTATGACTATTTCCCCCAAAAAAACTCTCATTTCTTCCCTAACATAAGCATTAGAAATTTCTTTGAAAAAAACATTCTATAATCAATTTTCCTACATAGATTACTCTAGTAATAAAAAATAAACTTAAAAATGAACTTAGAAAACTTATGTATTTTATTGGATTTTAAAGATCTATATATATAATTATAATTAGTATTATTATTATTATTATTATTATTATTATTCATATGTCAAATAAATATGTGGTGAAAATTAGCACTAAAGAAAAAAATCTAATATTATGGTCAAATTATACTACAAGGGCTCCAACTTCTATTTCATTTCATTAAAGCTCTTTCACTTGTCAAATTAGTCAATTTGGTCCTTATTTAAAATTTTTGGCATTACATCTAATCTTTCATGTGTAACCGACTCTAAAAATCCAATTTTGAGTATGGTATAGAACACATGCCTCTAGAATCAAATTTTCAAAGAGAATTTATAAAATCTTTTTTTAAAAAAGTGATTTTATAAGCTTTCAATTAGACATAATAAAAACTTATCAACGATGACTTCAATTTTTAAAATATCATTTTATCAAGAAATATATTTTCAAATTTGAAAAATGGATTTGACAATAGGAAAAGTAATGAAGTTGTTAAATTGATATTAGCTATTTTATTTTTTTTATATCGATTTGATTATTTTATTTATTTTTATAAAAAAATAAAATATAAAAATTATATAATTTTTTTTTAAAATTAAAATTATGTAAGAATTACTAAAATGTGGAATAATGTCAACACATTACAAAAATAAAAAACTGTAAAAATATGAAAAATTGTTACAAAAATAAAAACTGTAAAAGAAAAAACATATAAAAGATTGTAAAAATATTTTATAATAAAAGAGCAGAAGAATAAAAAAAGAAGAACCATAAGTCATTAATTTCCATATAGTATGAATCAGAAGCTACACACTAGCGATGTCAAGGAGAAAAAAAGAAAGTGCAAGTAGATAAATGGTATCCGTATAAGAAATTGTTTTGTTGATTTCCATTATTATAGGATATTATTTTGTTTAGTCTATTGATTATTAAAAGTTACAAAATAGTCATCTAACTATTCATATGTTTCAAACTTGTCATTTTCTGTTAAAAAAATGACGACATTTTGAGTTGAACGTTAACCTGCTGATTAAGATATGATAAATTTTAATCTCAAAATATCAAATGACTATCATATCTTAGTCAGCATGTTAACATCAAACTTAGATGACCGTTAATTTTTTAACGGAAAAGGACAAATTTGAAACATATAAATAATTGAATGATTATTTTGTAACTTTTAATAGTCGACCGTAAACTTTTAATAGAAATAACTGAAATCAATTTAATCGTTTCATTTTTTTTGTGTCAGATTAGTTCAATTTGACGAAAATTGAAAGTTTGATAATGTGTGAAAAAATCCAAGAACTAAAATAAAAATATAGCAAGGTTAGAAGGCCAAAAGATCATTCTAACAAAATTATGATATCATATCCACTTCCATTGCTGACCTTCCATTTTATACAGCACCACCATTGGCAGAACCAATTGAGAGAGAGAGAGAGAGAGAGAGATGCCAAAAAATGAATATGTTCCACTCTTCGAAACAAGGCAAGTTAAGGGACGAATTCTTTTCCGGTCTGTTGCAGCTTCCATCTTCCTCGCCATCTGCTTCGTCTTCATCTACAGAGTAAAGTTTCTCCCAGCGGAAGTAAGAGCCGAGAGATTGAGTTGGATCGGATTGTTTCTTTCTGAAATATGGTTCAGTTTCTATTGGTTTCTCACCGCAGTTTGTAGGTGGAACTCTGTCCATCGTCTTCCCTACATACACAGGCTCTCTCAGAGGTATACCTTATCAACACCTATCTTTTCATACTGCACGCATAACGTGAATTCCATCGATTCCAATACTATTAACATGTAGGTTCGGGAAAGAATTACCGGGCGTCGACGTATTCGTGTGCACGGCGGATGCGTCGATAGAGCCGCCGTGCATGGTGGTGAACACGGTTCTGTCAGTGATGGCGTATGATTATCCACCTCAGAAGTTAAGCATCTATTTATCGGACGACGGGGGATCGGAGTTGACGTTTTATGCCATGGTAGAGGCTGCGGAATTGTCGAAGACATGGCTTCCTTTCTGCAACAAGTTCAAAGTAGAACCCAGGTCTCCCGAGGCTTATTTTAGGACGGCTTCTGAACCAGTCGATGTCAAGGAGTGGGGTTTAGTTAAGGTATGTTTAAATGATTCCCTTTCTTGCATGTTATCACGTTAGTGTATAGATACTGTTATAATTATCGGAACGATTAACGTAAATAATCAAACAGATCAAAAATATTAAGATTTATATGGAAAATCAAAGGAAAAAATCACGGGTAAATGAAAATAAAATTTCACCATGTCGAAAAAATACAAGATCTGTTATATTTGTTACACCACAAAACTCTACTCTCTACTTTCTATTTATAGGGATCAAACGGATTATACTGCTTCCCCGCCCGCAAATCTCATATTTTTACCATTATTTTAGTTATAACTTTATAATTCCATATAAGAAAAACTTGGATCATAACTCTAACCTACATTGATGTTAATAATGTACATTTTCATGTCTCATTAAAGCGCACTAAAATGAATAATAATGTACATTTTAATGTATTATCATTTTATAAATTTATACATTAGCTTGAATAGTGTTATATGATTAAGTAATATCGACATTCCTTGTTTAAGTTTCAAATCTTACCCATTATAATAACAAGGTTTAATGGTATTTGAGACTCTAAAACTTTTTTTTAATTAATGTGGTCATCGAATTATTTTTGTACTAAATGTAACATTTAAATTAAAAAAAAATCAATATGATCATTTAACTAACAGTTTCTGTCGTTTTTGTTACGATATTGATATAGTAGTCCATGATAGCTGATGGTTGAAATATTTTTTTGGTTAAGTTCAAGAATCAAATTGATTTTTTCTTAAAGTTCAGGGCTTCTTTAATCTTAAAGAAAAAATGAAAATTATTTTATATTTAAAATTTAAAATATAAAAATATTCAAATATTTTAAAAAATAAATAAAAAATAGTAGAAATAAAAAATTAATTACTATTGTTTTAAAAATTATATATAGAAAATTATAAATAAATCATAAATTATAAAACGATAAATTATAAATTATTAAAAATATTATAAAAGTATTACATAAAATACAAATGTAACATATTGTCACAACATCAATACTTATACAAAGTATTCTTATTGGATTAGTCGGGACATTATAATTTTGTATCTAAATATAATTAGAAAACATAATAAGTTTTTCATATCAATACATACATCTAATTATATTTCAAACGATTCCAAGGGCTATTCATAAACTCTTGCACATAATATAATAAGTTAGTATATACAATTGTGCTTAAAAATTGTCTGAAATATGATTAGATGTCTCTATTGATGCGAATAACCTATGATGTTTACTAATTACATTTGGATACAAAATTTGTAACTATCGACTAATCCAATCTTTAATATGCATATATGTACGATATAAAAAATAAAAAATTATATTTTATCTTAGATAATTTATTTTTTTATATTTATTTAAAGAAATAAAATAAAATTTTATATTTTAAAGTATTTAAATAATTGTAAAAATGATTTCATAATATGAGATTAAAATTAGAATTCTATCATTGAAATATTAATTTTATAAAAATATATAAATAGTTATTTAATTATTATTTTTATTTTCAAATAAAGTGAGAAAAATATTTAAATTTTAATTTAACAGTAATATAAAATAAATAATAAATTTAGTTGAATATAAATAAACATTTAGCCTAGCTTGTTAGCTTGCATTTGTATATTTTTGTTATCTGTCCAAGTTTGAATCACAAATCTAACAAAGCATAATTAGAGTTAGGAATTTACATTTTGTCTATATGAATATGACTAAGATATTATACTATCCACTCGTCATCCAATTCGGTTTGTGTTTATAGAGATTCTATTCGACCCAAAACCCAATCCAATATTTGAGGTAAAAACCTGCATCCACACTCGACCCCCAATATATTTATATTTATATATATAATCCTTATTTTTATTTGATAAAATATGGATTTAATTGAAAAAATATAGAGAGATGAATATTATTGTAGTTATACCTAAATATTTATATATATAATCCTTATTTTTATTTGATAAAATATGGATTTAATTGAAAAAATATAGAGAGATGAATATTATTGTAGTTATACCTAAATATATAAAGGATAATTATACTATTATCTCGGGTCGAGTTGATGATTTCTTATAAGATTGAGTCAATACCCGTCGAGTTTGGATCCTATACTCATCCCTAGTTGGAGCCCTACAATACTTCACTCATACTCGAACTGATATACCTTTAATGGGAGCAAAGTTGTGCAATTACCACGACAACAAATTAGAGTTATAATTGAAACAATTGAAATTTAAATAGTTTAAAAGATACATCGTCTAAAGTTAAGTGTTATCCGGTGTAATTTACCCTTAAATTAATAATAGAAAATCTTGTACATTTAACTCTAGCTTATTTCAAATAGTACCGGTTGATATTTTTATTATCAGGCAGCTTAATTTTCTTGTTTTTATTTCCAAGCAAATGAGTTTGTTTTTGACCTTAAGCAATTTGCCTGGTGCTAATTCGTTCTAAAACGATATTATTTTATTTATTGTACAATTATTATGCAGAAACAATACGAGGACATGAGAATGAGGATTGAGGCCACCACAAAGATGAACCGAATTCCAGACCACATTCGGAAACAACACAAAGGATTTCGTGAGTGGGACTTGGGTTCAAGCAAACATGATCATCAAACCATTCTGCAAGTAATGAATCATTTGCATGAACTCATACTTTATTCATCGACTAACCTGTGAATCTTTAACACTACTTTAATTAACGTTTGTTAGATCCTAATTGATGGGAGAGACTCCAATGCTGTGGATGTTGAAGGAAACCCTTTGCCGACTCTTGTGTATTTGGCAAGAGAGAAAAGACCTCAATATGACCACCATTTCAAAGCTGGTGCCATGAATGTTCTTGTAAGTATCCTATATTAATATATGTCTTAATGTTAGAGGTTCGAATCATGATTTTTACGGTGGAAAACAGATTAGGGTATCGTCGAAGATAAGTAATGGTCCAATTATTCTCAACGTGGATTGCGATATGTATTCAAACAATTCAGAGTCGATCAAATATGCTCTGTGCATTTTCATGGATGAAGAAAAGGGTGATGAGGTTGCCTTTGTACAGTTCCCTCAGAATTTCGATAATCTCACCAGAAATGATAGTTATGGTAGCTCTTTCAGAGTGGCACAGAAGGTAATTAAGCTTATAACAGAAAGGTTTTTAAGTAAAAGATGATTGATCTGATCTTTTGGGGTTATATTTGCTGTGTGTGTTGGTTAAGTTGGAGTTTCAGGGTCTTGATGCGAATGGAGGACCATGCTACATTGGCACAGGATGTTTTCACAGAAGAGAGGCTCTTTGTGGGAAGAAATATGACAGAAACTATAAGGTTGATTGGAAGAAACTAAATCATATCAAGGTTGAAGAAAGTGCAGGCCTTCTTGAAGAAACATGTAAAGTTCTTGCAAGCTGTTCCTTTGAACACGAAACGGCATGGGGAAAAGAGGTGCCTTTTGTTCTTTCTCACTTACGTAATGGTGCATGAACTCTAAACCCTAATCACTAATACGTTTTTGATTGCAGATGGGTTTAGTATATGGCTTTCCTGTGGAAGACGTAGTTACAGGGTTGAGTATACAATGTAGAGGATGGAAATCCATGTATTTAGACCCTGAAAGAATAGGCTTCTTAGGGGTTGCACCAATAACACTATTGCAGTCGCTGGTGCAACATAAGAGATGGAGTGAAGGTCATCTTCAAATTTTCCTATCAAAATACTGTTCCTTGTTGTATGGATATAAGAAGATTCCGCTTAAGCTTCGACTTGCTTACTGTCCTTATAACTTGTGGGCTGCAAATTGCTTGGCGACGTTGTACTATGTTGTTGTCCCATGCCTTTGCCTGCTTAAAGGGATCTCATTGTTTCCTAGGGTATGAAGCCCCTAACTTCTTAACTACCTTGTATGATGCTATGTGAATGACTGTAAAATATTGTCAACTTGCAGATATCAAGACTCTGGGCGCTCCCATTCGCATATGTTGCCTTTTCACACCGTGCATATAGCCTCGGTGAATTCGTATGGTGCGGAGGCACATTCCGAGGTTGGTGCAATGATCAAAGGATGTCGTTGTTCAAGAGAACAACTTCGTACTTCTTCGCCTTCTGTGAAACCATCTTTAAGCTATTAGGGTATTCACAACCAGCCTTCGTCGTCACTGCCAAGATAGCCGATGAAGACATCTCGGAAAGATATCATCGCGAGCTGATCGAGTTCGGTGCCGCGTCACCGAAGTTTGATATTTTAGCCACACTTGCGGCGTTGAATCTGTTCGGTAGCTTTGGAGCAATAAAAAATGTCATCTTGGATTCTAAGATTATAGACCAATTCGGGTTGCAAATTCTCCTCTGCTTGGTTTTGGTTACAATCAACTTGCCTGTATACCAAGCACTCTTTTTCCGGGAGGACAATGGAAAGATGCCTACTTCAGTTACTTACAAGTCTATCATTTTAGCCTTGTTGGCATGTACTGTAGCCATGTATTGAACCACATTTTCTTTTTCCTTTTTTTACTAAGAAAGTTGCGGACATAATTATGATCAATACATCATATTCTGGCTGTTCGCTTTGCAAAAATATGTGAAAAAAGTGTGAAAGGAACTCTGTTGTTGTTTCAATAGCAATTTTCACCGAGAATTATGTTTCGAATCAGTAAAAGAAATTGTGGGGTTATCTTAAAAGAAGAATATGTAGGAGACAGAAGATACTAGACATATAACTGTTGTAGAAGATGAAACAACTACTCGAATCCAAAATAGTATTTGTTCGGAACTTTTTTAATCAATTGATAATGTACACACTCTACGAACACAATTACTCGAATCTGAAATCTATAGGAAAATCAATATTCGTTTTTACCATTAAAATCACTTGATGAGTTTACTTGTATACTTATTTTAAGTACTGTAAAGTTATATATCAAACTAAGAACCCTGTGGAAATTTATTAATAAATGCAATAACGTTATAAAACGATGGTATGGTATCTTGTACACATTTTTGTATGCCTATATATATTCATTAGATTCAATCTTGGAAAGGTTCGAAAAAGAGTTACTGGGTGTCGATGTATTCGTGTGCACAGCAGATCCGTCGATAAAGCCGCCAAGCATGGTGGTGAACAAGGTTCTATCAGTGATGGCATATGATTTTCTTTCCAGAGATAATGTCTCCCTAAAGCATGACTACAGGAAGAGTATAATATCTAACAATAGTTCCAGGGATGAAAATTTTCATTGCTTGCAGCAGACGTGGTAGCTCATTATATGACTAATCTCAATCACCATACAACAAGGTCATTGCTTTTTGTTTAGCCATCCAGGCCTTGTAATAAGTCGGAATATAACTAAATGTATTCCGAATGGATGTCACTAACACATAAATGAGTACTCTTAGATTTTTTTCTACCAACAGCTTGACATATGAGCATATGATATCTGAATCTAAATTTTTGTGGTGTTGTGTCAACGAGGTCATTGTACATGCGCGTTGTGCAATGAACCTTGTGACTTCCCACAACATCTTTCGTTGTAGGTATGATATTCTATCCTCCAGTTACATCCAACATCATGGTGTATATACATTATGAAATATGTCTTTTGATCAGACTCCGCGACATAGAATTGAAGATGAGCTTTGATGCAGTACTCCTTTATTGCTAGTTATGCATCGACACTTGTGTTTAGTTATGAAAAGTGTACGTTGAACCTATTAAATTAGAAGCTTTGTGAGCCTAACATTTCGATGGGGCAATCAAGTTTGACATTTAAGTTCTCATAGAAGTATTTCTATCTGGGACAGATAAAAGATAACATTTGCAAAAGAAGAGAAAAAAAAAGAAAAAAAAAGGAAAAGGGAAAAAAGAAAAAAGAAAAAAGAAAAAAGAAAGAAAAAACCAAAGTGAAAACTCAAAAGGGTGCTTTGAGAAAAGTGAATCTGAAGTGAAAACCAAGAGGGCGCTTTATAACGAATATGAGGAAGGAACCCAAAAGGAATGAATAGAAGGATTTGATTCTGAATATGAGATGAAATCATGAAATCGTGAGATGAAACGATGAGTTGGAACTTTGCAAGGATCATGAAGATGAAAATCGAGCAAAAAAGAGATGATGCCTACAAGATAGTGGAAGTTGTGGTCTTTAATATAATTGACATCATGCATTCATGTTTAGGCATGTAAATAAGAGCATGCATGTTTGTTCATTTATTTCAAATATTTTGACATTTTGATAGGGATGGTAAGATTTCCAAAGGAGACATTCCTCAGCAGAAACTGAGTTCGATAAAGAAATCAACACATGTGCATTATTACATTTGACAGGAACTTGTGGAAGTTGAAGAAGATCATACATGAGAACTTGTTCGATTTTGACGTTCATTTCATTGCTTGATTCATCACAGAAGGAGATGGATCAGTGCTAGTCTTTTGCTGGATTATTCGTAGAAGGAGTTGAATTAGCATAATTTTATTTAGCTTGATTCTATCACAAGAGAAGGTAGATCAACATCGACATTGTGTTTGATTCTTTACAAAAAGAGTTGGATCAATGGTGTCATTCCGTTTGATTCTTCACAGAAGGAGTTGAATCAGTATAATCTCATTTTGTTCGATTCTATCACAGAAAGATATAGATCGGCGTTGGCAAATTGCTTTGATTCTTCATAGAAGGATTTGAATACACATTTTTCATGTTACTTGATCCTTCACAGAATGAGTTGGATCAGTAACAACCTTTCATTTGATCCTTTACAGAAGGAGTTGGATAAGTGAAAATTGTTCGCTTGGTTCTTCACAAAATTAGTTGAATCAGCGTCAATATGGTGCTCGTTTCTTCAAAGAAGTCAAAACAACACTATCATTTTGCTCGACACCATCACAGAAGGAGGTGGGTTAGCTTCATCGCTTTACTTGATTCTTCACAGAAGGAGTTGTATCAACATTGTGTTTTTACTCGATTTCATCACATAAAGAGGTGAATCAGCATTTCTGCAGGAAGAATGAGTTTATATAGGAGAGCTCGTTCAACCTAGACTGAGTTGTTGTGGTAGAATGGAGGGTTCATGTAGAAGATCTCGTATGTTCTGTCCAAGACGTTTTGAAGATGAAGATTTCATATAGGAGAGGTTGCTCATATTTCCGAGTTGACTTTTATCAGGGAGTGAAGGGTTCATATCCGAAGAATCTAGAACTCATGATTTGCAGTGAGCCGGATAAAATTGGTGCTTCTTATCTTTGCTTCATTCCCGTTCCACAAAAATGAGCAAAGAGGGGCAGCTGTAATCATCCATTTTATCTGGGCGGTAACACGCATGTGGCATTTTATGTTATAATATATATAGTATATAATAAATATATAGGCGTATATATAATATATAGTGTATACATATAATATAATTTAGGTATTAAATGCATTAAATCATATAGTTTCTTTTTTTTTTGCATAAGGTAGTGTGCATATTATATAGTTGTATATATTAGGTATTATAGTATATTAAACAATTGCATAGCATATTATTAGTATTTTAGTTGCATTGCATAAGTAATTACATGTGTTAGATATTAAATAACAATAGATGCATTTCATGTTAAACTGCATGTTATTAATTCATGTTACATTGCATGTTATTAATTCATGTTGCATTAGATGTTAGATAATTAGTATGTTACATTGCATATTATATTGTTTATAAATAATAGTCCATGTCATATTAGAGTAGCCCATTTATTTATTTTAAATAAATCACTAAACCGAAAAAAGCAAGTCCATTTTATTATATAGTAATAGTCCATTGCATTGTCTTTTACATAGGCCCAATATAAGCCCATTGTTTGTTACAATATATGCATTATATAATAATAAATAATAATAAAAAACAAAAAAAAACCCTATTTTTAAGCCTTTGTCGTCGATTTTGCTTGGTGTAGGAGGGAAGGAGTTTGATTTTGATTTTCAAAGTCAAACAATGCATTAAATGGCCCAACTTTCAAAGGATGCTTACATCACCAATCCATGGCAAGAAAACCAAAGAAATCTCAGCCAATGATTGGTTTTGATCTAATGACTAGGGAGGCTTCAATCCAAGTGAAACAAACGCAAATTGATGAGGACCCTTGGATGGAAAGCTCGATCCAATGGCTCACACGAAGCCACATTATCGATCCATGGCTAAGAAGCACAAAGCCATTTAAGCCATTGCATCAAAAATAGATCCAATGACCAAGATATTGTCTTCTCTATAGGACCCAAGCAACAACCAACATCACTGTCGGTCAAGAAGAGTTCACCGACGCGTCGTCGGTGCGTGTGACTTATGCATTGGTTCAGTCGTCTTCCCCAGTGAGCCACCGTCGTTCATCGCCGCTCCACCACCACCGGTCAAGTTTTGAAGCATGCAAAAAATCGCAAAAAATTAGAACAAATTTAAAAGCTGTTGAGTTAATCGAATGACGAAATTGGCCAAGTGGGGGGTGAATTGGCAATAAAAATTTTGTGGAAGCTTTTGCAGAAAATTGAAAGTAATTGCACATCGATTTACAGTGGTTCGACTTTCTCAAACAAAGTCTACGTCCACTACCTTAGCTATCCACACTAAGGATTTTCCAACAAATTCACTAATTTGTTCTTTCTTTTGAGGCCAAAGAGATAACCTTACAATTCCCTCAAGAGTATACCCCAACTCTTGAGAACACTCTTTTCTCAAAGAGAAGATTACAAATTTGCAAACTTACAAGAAAACCTCACAAGGTAAGATGTTTGCACAATTCTAGAACAAAGAAAAGAACACTCAAAGATGAATACAATTGAGCACAAAAAGTGTTCTTGAAAGCAAAATGAGTATTGAATGAAAATAGGCTTGAAATGCTCAAACTTGAGGTTTGATGCTTTCTCTTTGACTCTCTCTTGATTCTAGTTGCTTGATGTTTCTTGTTGTTGATCAATGGCTTCTAAGCTTGCTTAAATACACCTTGGATCACTTCTGAACGTTGGGGATAATTAGAGAAGATATTATAGCCGTTTTAGTGTGAAAACATTTAATAAAACAGCTTGGAGCGTGGGGGGAATCGGTTCCCCCTCATAGGGAATCGGTTCCCTAAGTGTAAAATTCAAATATTTCGACCATTGTACAAGGGGGGAATCGGTACCCCCTTGGGGGGAATCGGTTCCCTCCGAGCATACTGGAATTTCTCGGAGCAAAACTGTTTAGGGGGAATCGGTTCCTCCTATGGGGGAATCGGTTCCCTCCGAGCATTCTGGAAATCTCGGGGCCAAACCATTCAGGGGGAATCGGTTCCTCCTATAGGGGGGAATCAGTTCCCTATGAGCAATCTGGAATTTTTAGCTTTGAATTGGTTCGAAATACTTTGTAAAATTATTTTGAAATTGTTTTATGATTAAAACTTAATTTTACACTTAAGTAAGGATTAAAATGATTTTTGAAATATTTGGAGTAATGTTTTGATATTCGAATAGTTATATCGAATATACTT